AGATTTTCATATACATTTTACTAATTTTCTTTCATCTCTGACACTTCTATTATAGAGAAAGGGCAAATAGCGATATTAAAATATTTCCTCTAATTAATTCCCTTTTAATGTGCAATTTAATAAGAGATCAACAAAAGGACTTGTATCCGTGCATATGAGCATGACCAATGGAAACAAACAAGAGGGGATGGGGGCATATGCTGGGGGGCGGGAGCAGGAGGGGAGAGGTCAATGGGGGAAAGGGAGACATACGTAAAACTTTCAACAACAAAGTATTTTAGAACATATATTTATTTATTTATATAGGACTGGGCAGAGGACTGGCTTGAAGGAGACTTTCACGCAGTCGTTTCCAAAATCCAGGTGTGTGTGGACCATGCAAAAGGGAGCCTGGCATGGTCTCCTCGTTTTTTTTTAATTTTACTTTTTAAAATTGATTTTAAAGAGGGAGGAAGAGAGAGAAATATAGCCCTAGCTGGTTTGGCTCAGTGGATAGAGCCTCGGCCTGTGGACTGAAGGGTCCCAGGTTTGATTCCAGTCAAGGGCACATGCCCGGGTTGTGGACTTGATCCCCAGTGAGGGGCGTGCAGGAGGCAGCTGATCAATGATTCTCTCTCATCATTGATGTTTCTATCTATCTCTCCCTCTTCCTTCCTCTCAAAATCAATTAAAAAAATATATATTTTTAAATATATTTTATTGATTTTTTACAGAGGAAGGGAGAGGGATAGAGAGTTAGAAACATCAATGAGAGAGAAATATCTATCAGCCGCCTCCTGCACACCCCTACTGGGGATGTGCCCTTAACCAAGGTCCATGCCCTTGACCGGAATCGAACCTGGGACCCTTCAGTCCACAGGCTGACGGTCTATCCACTGACCCAAACCAACCCGTTAGGGCAAAATATATTTTTAAAAGAGAAAGAGAGAGAGAGAATATAAATGTGACAGAGACATTGATGAGTTGTCTCCTGTACACACCCCAACTGGAGATCAAACCCACAGCCTAGGTAAGTGCCCTGACCAGGAACGGAACCCACGACCTCCCAGTGCACAGGCCTACTCTCCAACCAAGTCCACGCCGGCCAGGACTTGTTTTTGATTATTGATGGGACTCTTGATACAATCGTTGCCTTGGTAATACTAGGAGATAAACCTTGGGGAAGTTGAGGGTCCAAGGATCGGGTAAGGAACGTCATTGCAGGTACCCAGAGCCCACCTCCCTCCCATGCCAGTCCCCCCAGCCTTGAATCTGGGAGCCTATTCTTATAAGTGGGCGACTCTCCACTTCCCAGCAGGTGGCGCTACTGTCCTGACTGCGGATGGCTGCCAACTAGACCTCAGAGGAAATCAAAGTGGCACAGGGGAAAAAGCAACTGAATACGAAAAGGCCGATATGGCCCTGACCAGTTTGGCTCAGTGGATAGAGTGTCGGCCTGCGGACTGAAGGGTCCCGGGTTCGGTTCCGGTCAAGGGCATGTACCTTGGCTGCGGGCACATCCCCAGTGGGGAGTGTGCGGGAGGCAGCTGATCGATGTTTCTAACTCTCCCTCTCCCTTCCTCTCTGTAAAAAATCAATAAAATATATTTAAAAAAAAAAGGCTGATATGGGGAATTGCCCAATGTCACCCCAATGAATTCAATTTAAAAAAATAAATGGAGGAATTGAAGAATCAAAAAAATCCCATAGATAGAAAACAAATAGCTAAGTGACACCTGGTTCCTTTCCTGCCGGCTGCAACAAATGTAAAGATTAGGCAGCCAGAGAACAACCCAGAAGGAAAGAAGGGAAAACTTGTTCTCCCCTAGGCTTTTTGTCTGTTTGTTTGTTTTTGACGAGCTTTATTACATTGTTGGTGTCATGCAGGGGAGAGTCCTTTCAGTCTGGGCTGTTAATTTGATGTGTTCATAGTGTATTTTTCCTAAAGTGTGTCTCCCCTGGGGTTGTGGTGAGCCAGCTGGGAGACCCCTGGCTGGGCACCGCTGCTCTGGGGCCGCTGAGAGACCCTGGGACCTGGGACAAGCACCGCAGAAGGAATTCTTACCCGTCTCCTGGGCCTCGCTGCCTGTGCAGTCTGGTGGAAGTGAGAATTGTGAGTTCCTGTCTCTTTCTAAATTTAGATGAACAGAAAATATTTGTGTGAAAATTCGTTTTCTCCTGTGAAAGTGTTTTATGTTCATTTGATTGTTAGAGCAGCTGAAGAACCTAGACGGGTAGGGTAGGAGGAAGTGTTCCTCCCCACACAGGCATCCTACTTCATCTGTTTCCCGTCTTCATCGAAAAGTCTGCCTTCCTCGGTGCTCTGAAGTGCTGCCTTTGTTTTTAACCAAATGCCCGTCTGTTCACGATTCTGCTTCTGGGTTCTGTATTCTGTTGTGTCTCTGCATCACACCCAACAGCCCTCTGTCTTCATTACGAGGGTTGTGTAATAGGTCTTTACGTTGTAGAACAGTAAGAAGCTAGGAAAATTCCAGGGAAAGTGTAATCGGGAAACTAGCAGTTTGCAGCCACCTAGTAAATCCTATCTTCCCTAAACCAAGGACAAAAAAAGAGCCCTGGCTAGTTTGGCTCAGTGGACAGGGTGTCGGCCTGTGGACTGAAGGGTCCCGGGTTCGATTCCGGTCAAGGGCACCTGCCTGGGTTGCAGGTTCCATGCGTGCTGGAGGCAACCAATGGATGTGCCTCTCTCACATCCATGTTTCTCTCTCCTCCTCCTTCCCTCCCTTCCACCTTCTCTACAAAATTAATAGGAAAAAAATGTAACAAGTAAAGGGGGGGTTTATATCTATTTTTGCAATTAATGTCAGCCATGCTCTTATGATCATTCGTGCTCATGGTTTACATGCTTTAACTGACGACCCCACCCCCCACCCCCCTCGGCACAGAAGCAGGAACAGGAAGGGTCAGGACGCCGACGGGTGCAGACGGTTTGGCGACAAAGCCGCCGGCCGTTTCTAGGCAGGGTCCCCGGTGGCTCTCGCGCAGCGTTCTCGCGCACTTCCGACGCCCCGCCTGCCCTGGGCATTGCTGATTGGCTGGGCTGGCCAAGCGCGAGGCCTGCCGGGAGTTGTAGTCCGTGGGACTGGACTGGGGATGCCGGGAAGGACCAGAGGTCCCAGGCTGGGATCGGCGGTTGTGTTGGCTCCGCACAGCTGGCACCATGTCCCGCGTGTTGGTGCCCTGCCACGTGAAAGGCACCGTGGCGCTGCAAGTGGGCGATGTGCGCACCTCCCAGGGCCGGCCTGGCGTGCTGGTCATCGATGTCACCTTCCCCAACGTCGCACCCTTCGAGGTGAGCCAGCCCCTTGGGCGAGACCGTGGTTCCTGGGCGGGACTGACCTGGGAACCCGGGCGTGTCCCAGGCGTTGGGTCGATCGGTTACACAAAGCTTGGCGCAGGCCTCGCCCTGGCGCATAAGTTAACCATTTGTTCATTCCTTCAGTTAACACACTTAGTAGAAGGCAGCTTCCTGTGCAGTTCTCTGCGTCATCCCTCCTCACGTCCCGGACAGCGCTGGCGGGGAAGGGCCAAGGTAGTAGGCGAGGTGTTGGAAATACAGTTGTGAGCCCAGGATAGGTGAGGTCATTTTGTCCTGGGAATCAGTAGGCAATGAGTTACCCCCAAACCTGCCGCCTGCGCATGCCTCCAGTCTGCTCATCAGGGTCTCCCCAGTGGCTTCGGCTGCACTTCCACATCAGCTGGCACAGGGACCGGACACCGCAGGACTTCTACTTAGAGGATGAAGTCCGTTTTCTTTTTCTAAAATATATTTTTATTGATTTCAGAGAGGAAGGGAGAGGGAGCGAGAGATAGAAACATCAATGGTGGGAGAGAACCATTGATCGGCTGCCTCCTGCACACCCCACACTGGGGATGGAGCCCACAACCCGGGCATGTGCCACGCCAGCCGGGCTAAAATCCGCTTTCTGATGGCCTGGCACTCAGGGCCGCTTTGTGTCTGTGCCTGCCTACCTCTCAGCCCCGGGCACTCTGTTCAATAGAGAGTGGCTCTCCCCCAAGCTGTTCCTGAGGTATAAGCTTCGAAGTGCTGATGCAGTAGGTCTGGGTGGAGCCTGTACACCTAGATGCACATGTTTTTAGACCTCCTGGGGTGATTCTGATGAGTGTCTAGTGATGAGAACTGCTGCAGCCAGGCATCCTACGTGCTCACATCCTCTACCTTTCTCCGTGCACTGGGTGAACTCCTCCCCTCAGGCCTCACGTGTACACGTTGTGCCTCCTCCAGGGTTAGGGCTCCAACCCCTGGCAGCATCCTGGGTGTGGCAAGGTCTGCGGTTGTGGTTTATGTGACCTCCGCATTTAGGCTGTGAAACTGAGCCTCAAAGGATCCTTATCAGATTGGAAGCGGAGTCTATTCCCAAGGGGAGGAGGCGGTGGTGCCTTTGAGCCTCTCTCAGGCCCCGAGCCGGTGCCTGATTTGGAACGGTGGGTGGTGTGTGTGTTGCAGTTGCAGGAGATTACATTTAAGAATTACTACACAGCCTTTCTGAGCATCCGTGTCCGCCAGTACAGCTCGATACACACACAGGCCAAGTGGGTGACCTGCCTGCGGGACTACTGCCTGATGCCGGACCCACACAGCGAGGAGGGAGCTCAGGAGTATGTATCGCTGTCCAAGCACCAGGTCAGCTGGGACAGGGCATGGCCAGGGCAGCCCAGATGAGGGCTCGCTGGGGGCCTGAGAACTGGGCTAGGATACGAGGAGGGATGGGGGGTGGGGGGGCGCAGGGCTGTCCTGGGCTGTGGCTCTTGGGGAAGTGCCTTGGAGGGACCACTGTTCTTTCTTTCCCAAAGGCCTGGGGGGCAGCAGCTTGGCTCCCTGCCCATTGGGAGGCTCCCGGGTAGTGAGCTGGGGCTCTTGGGGGCCTTGTGTGTGTGTGTCAGATGCTGTGTGACGTGGCTAGAGTGCTGGAGCTGCGCCTGATTCTGCGACAGCCCTCGCCCCTGTGGCTGTCGTTCACAGTGGAGGAGCTGCAGGTCTACCAGCAGGGAGCAAAGGTAAGGGACTTGCTCGGCTGGTGGCCGGCCCTTTCCCAAGGAGGCCCTAGTGTGGCTGGCAGAGCTGGGGGTGGGGTGGGAGTGGGGGGTCAAGATGAGGAGACCCGGAGGGAGGCCTTCCTGGAAGTTAGCCAGGTGGGAACGTTGGAAGCTCATGAGAGGGACGCTATGCCCCCATACACCTGATCTTTGGGGCCAGCCATCTCTTTCAGAGCCGGAGACACTTCTGTTCCTTGTGTTGCTGGGGCCTCCTTCGGAAGATCTCAGGGAGTCTGACTGCCCTTTGGGCCTTTGTGGACCCCGAGCAGGGTTTGCTCAGTGTTCAAGGCTCCCAGGACCTTGGGAACTGGTCCCAGGACTCTCCCCTTCTTCCTCCCTCTTTGCTTTGCAGAGCCCCTCCATGACCTTTCCCAAGTGGCTTTCCCACCCAGCGCCTTGTGAGCAGCCCGCTCCCCTCCTGGAGGTAAGCCCTCACCCCGGGTAAGAGCCACGTGCTAGTAGCTCTCATGTCCAGGTGGGCCCACCCTGCAGGAACCTGGGGCTGGACCTGGGGCCCCGGTCACTCTGTGCTACCTTCCCGATCTTCCTCCTGGGGCTCCATGGGATTTGAGGTCTCTCCGTGTGGGGTTGCACGTCAGGCCCCAAACTCATATTTCACAAGCCGGCTGGGAAGGTGACTGTCTCTGCTGGAGGGCCCCATTGCCCAGCCTGGCCTCTCCGGAGCTCTAAGGCACTGCTGGGGGAGACCCCTGGCCACTGACCCCCCTTCCGGAGCAGGGCCTCCCGGACCCCAGCAGGGTGTCCTCGGAGGTGCAGCAGATGTGGGCGCTGACAGAGATGGTCCGGGCCAGTCGCACCTCCAGGAGGATCGGCCGCTTCGATGTGAGTGACCGAGCGCTGCCCTCGGCTCGGCCCCCAGGGCCCTGAGCTGGTCAGGGTCAGATCTGATGGCCGTCTGTGTTGCAGGTGGATGGCTGCTACGACCTGAACTTGCTCTCCTACACTTGAGCCGTGGCTCTTCCCCGAGACGTTGACCCTCTGCCCGCCCGGGCCTGCTTGGGGCCGTCAGAGGCCGAAGTGCTTCCCCTGCATTCCGAGTATTGCCTGCATCCCCTGCTGCCTGGGCCACGTCCACAGAGTCGAGATTCTTGGGGCTCACTGTGCCGCTTCAGCATGAGCGCTTGGTGTGGGGTGCACTCTGTCCTCACCTGACTGTGACCCGAAACTCCTTTCCCCGCCCTCACGACACTCCACTTCCACTTACTAAGAACCCCTGCGTGCCCGGGGCCCCTCCTGCCAACACGCACACTGCTGCCTCTGCTGCTCCCTGCCCTCAGTGGGCCAGGCGCCCTCCTGGCACCGGCCCTGTCCACCCTTGGGCGGCTGCTGTCGCCACGGCACTCTATTTTTTACAAGAATTTTTTAGTTTATTTAAGCCAAACTGACCACATGCCAGGAAGCAGGACCTCAAATGCTCTGCATGGCACTGAGGCCGGAAGCCTCAGGGAGAAGCAGGAGCCCTAGTGGCCTTCCTTCCCTTCGTGTCTCGCCCACAAAGAGGCCGTTCCTGTCCGAACACCTGCTGCCTGCCTGGGAGCGGAGCTGGCGACCGGGGCCGCAGGAGCCCTGGTCTCTGAGCCGGCTCTTGGGTGTGTGTTCAAATGGGTCTGCCCACCTGGCCTGAGCAGGAGCCTGTGGCAAGGCCGGGGCCTGAGGATGAGCCCTCGGACCTGCTTGCCATCTGACCCAGCCCAAGTACATCCTTGTCCCATCTCCCAGCCGCTTCCTTCCAAAAGTCATACCCACGTGACGGGCTCATGGTGGGAGGTGGACCCGGCCAGGGTTCTCACTGGGACCCTAAAAGGCTGAGGCTGAGGCTCTCGGCAACCCCCCGGCCAGTGCTGAGTAAGGCAGCTGCTGCTGTGTGTGTGTGTGTGTGTGTGTGTGTGCAGTGTGTGTGTGTTCTGGCTTTGCCCTGGTGGCTGTAGGAGGCAACAGGGCAAGTGTTGGACCTGGAAAAGGAGGTGTTTGTGTGGCTCCACAGCTTCCGGGGAAGGTCAGCCGCCTGGTGGCACCTTCTCTCACTGGCAGGGTTTTTACCCGCGGCCCCTCAGCTCCATTGACTTAGCTCTGCTCAGCTTTTGCTAATGAGGCAGGTCCCCGCACGGGGCCCAGTGTGCAGCAAGATCAATAAACACTGTGGAATGCATGCGTGCTGCCCGCCTGTGTGTGCCCCGCGGGGAGCTGGAGACCCCCGTGTGGCCAGGTTCCCGTGGTGCCCTGGCTCCCCGTCCTGTGTCCTCTCCACTTCTCCCCCTCCTCTCCCTTGACCTTAGTCTCTGCTGTCCGCAACATGCCATTCAGGCCTCTCAGCCCTTTGTCTGAACTTTGACCCCTGGGGGCTGGGCAGTCAGCAGGGGGAGGCCTGGCCCCTGGCTCGGTTCCGAGCAGCTTAACTGGCCAGCACCTCCCACCTGCCCGAGGCTGGGGGAAGCGCCCGGGGCTGTTTTTCTGCCGCTGGGACTCACTGTACCGGGTGCGCTGAAGCCCCGCCTGCCCTCGGGGCTGCCCACCCCCCTTCCGATCCCCTTTGTGGGGAGAGACGGCCTGGGCCAGGGGCCAGACTACATCTCCCAGCGTCCCCGA